GAGCGCGCAGTTTATTGAGTACAAAGGGACGCTGGGAGGGGTCTCTGCATTCTGCGCCGGCAATGAAGGTGGGCCAGATGAGGCATTTGAAGTGGGCATCTTCGATAGGGATGAGAGCGATTTTGCGGATGATGAGGTCTGCCACTTCGGCGTGGTCGGAGGGGAGTCCGAAGTGGTTGGGGATGGTTGCGGCGCCGGGACGCGGGCGGGAGAGAACGCGGCTGGCGTAGAGGTAGACGGCGCCTTTGAAGACGGTGGCCAGGGCGGTTCGCATGGAGAGATCTGCAAGGTAGTAGCAGCTTTGCATGGACTCGGCCCAGGCGGAGGGGTCGAAGGCTTGGATGTGTTGGAGGAGAGCGCCGGGGGATTGGAGGGGGTTGGTGTCTTGAGAGAGGAAGGCAGAGGTGAAGATCATAGAGGGTTGCGAGTTGTGGTCGACGTCCGGGTCGAAGTAGAGGCCGGCGTGGATGAGTAGGATGACTTCGAGGAGATAGGCTGGACAGCCGACGTAGGAGGTTTCTTCGAGGCGTTTAAGCATGGCGGGGCCCATGCTGGAGGTATAGAAGGGTTTGGTTAGGGACCCTGGGCGAGCGAGGGTGGAGCCCATGAGTTGGATGCTGGGAGCTGTGTCAATATGTGTGTCGCTTGGCTAGGAGAAGGTTATATGTCTTACAGGAGAATGCCGTCGACAGCGAAATCTTCCAGCCATTTGACGAGGTATTGAGGCGGACTGGAGGCCCCCTGTTCTTGGCGGCCTTTGAGAAGCTTTTTGGCCCCTTCGAGGTGGAACTTCCAGGCGCCATCTCCCGATTCAATGGCATCCATAAGAGCGAGTACTGTGATCGCAGCAAGGGTCCTGTTATCATTGCGCAAGACAGGATCCCGGATATCGTTCGATAACTGCCCTAAGGCGCGCTGCTTGAGTCCGAGAAAATGTTCATATACCTTGGACGACGGGCGCCGAGACATCGAGGTGATCACGGACTTTTCTACCTCTTCGGGAGACAGGAGGGTGCGGTCTGCTGGGGAACCCTCCGACAACCATGGCGTCAGGGAAAAGTCCCCGCTTGCCAGGATGGCATAATGCAAGGCACCGGTGGCAGCGAGGACGTGGGCGAGAAGAGGAGAGTCGCCGACCAGGGGAATGAGGTCACGGTACGGGTTACCGGTCTCGGAGTAGAGGGTGAGGTAATTGGCAAGGTTCTGGTTGACTTCGGGATGATTAGACAGGGATCACACAGGTAGATAAACCGGCAAACATACAATGCCCAATGTAGAACCGTGACAGCTGACTCAGGTCCTTAAACAGCGGATCCACCAGGCCCCAAGGTGCGGAGACGGAAGTAGCTCTTTGCAAGACAACTTGCGTATCCTGATCATCATTATCCTCCGACTGGATCGGTCCTGGGATACCCTGGATGCCCGACACGTTGGGGGGTACGCATAAGCTGATGTCGATAGACTGGGTAGGCGAATCGGCAGCTGACGGCGGCGACGCATTGCTGGAGGAAGAGGGGCTCGAGTCACCGCGCCCAAGATCTGAAGGGCGCATAACCTCATTAAAGCTGCGACCCATCATCTTTCCCCGACTGGCCACACCTCCCTTGACCCAGACGAGGGGCTTCTGATACCCCAGACATTCCTTCCCCGCATCGCGGCACTTGCGGCATGTTGGCAAGCCGTTGTCGCAGATGATGCGGCGGCGACGACAGGTATAGCAGCCCTTCGACATCACTTCGGACCGTGTGGGAGCAGACGAACGGGTCACTTCTCTGGTGGGTGGGAGAATCGCAATCCGATGCAGGCGGCTCGAGACGAGTGTCTACACAGGACACTCGCCATCATTGGGACTCGTCACGACACGGAATGGGGTTTGGGGGAGGAGAGCTTCACCCAGTACATTGAGAGCTCACCACTCTGGGGTGCTGAATTCTGATCGTCGAATGAAGAGCACGGCAAGCCGATTCAAGGCCGAAGAAAGAAATGAAGTAAGAGAGATAGATGACGAGAAGAGGAGGGGGAGGAAGAAGAGGGCTGAAAGAAGATCTGGAACTGCGCCGCAAAGGAATCCAAAGGCCGCCAAAAAGAGGAATCAAGCATCCCCATTGGTGGAGTGTTGCTGACTCATACTATACACCCCCGCTAGCCAGAAGAGGCTTAGTGTCATACAAGAGCATGACAGAACAAGGTGGGATGCCTTGGATGCCTTGCATGCCTTGAATACGGGGCAGCCAGCGGGATGGACATTGAAATCAATCATAAAGATGAGAAGATGAGGAAAGAAATGGAGTTTATACTTTTGGTGGGTATCTCTCTCTGGGAATCCGAAAAGAGGAAGAAGAGGACGCAATAGGAAAAGAATGGAGTCGGGGATCATCCGACAAAAGGCAGCTGAACAGACGGATCCGACTATCCAGTCTAAGCCAATCAAGAGGCATCAACGCAACTGCGAGGCCGTCGATGGACTCAACGAATCCCGATTGAACTTCTTGACATCCTTTCGCTTCTCCTTTTCGGTCGGTCGCAGAATTCCTAAGGAAGAGTCAAAGGGCACTCCGAGTCAAAGCAGTTTTGGATCACGCCCAAGGGGGTTTTCCTTCTTTGACAGGGCCTTGATACTAAGAAGGTATCAACCGCTGTCTTCCAGTCTCTCGCTGCACACAGACCATCTTTTTTCCCACGGAAATCCATCTCGAAGCCATGGTTTTGGACCCTATGTTTATTTATCGGCTGTAACTGGTCTTGTCGGCTTCAATCTGCATCTTCCTCGCCTTGGCTGCATTCTGATTGCATTCGGTCCAGTCGACTCCTATTCTTCGGATCATTATTCTCTTAGCCTAGTCCTTTTCGTCTTCTCTCTCTCTCGTTCTTGTCTTTTTCCCTCCAACTTCTGCTACTAGTTCTCTAGTTCTCTAGTTCTTTCTCGGTGGCCCACTTTGTTATCGCCCGCGGGGATCAACAACCGGGAATCCGCCGCCACTCCCAAACTCCTCTGGCGCAAATCTGTCTCTGTCCTGGGCGTCGCGGGTCCAAACATTCCTCGCTGGCCGTGTTGACGAATTCCCGACCGGGGCGCGTGCTGTTGGATTTGAATGACGGCCCGCTCTCTGCAGCAGCTCTCCTTTGGCGTCTGGTCACCGCGCATCTCTTCCTGACGGACCATGTCCACCAAGTTTCCCACTACTACCGTCTCTCCCGTCGAAATGGTGTCTCAAGCTCAGGTCCTCGATCGCTCCGTCCCGCCGCATAGCGCTGCCTCCTCCGTGTCGCGCCATTCTCATTCCAGCCGGCGACATCGTTCCAGTCGTTCCCATCATGGTGGACTCACCCATCAACAGCAAAACGACTTTCCTATTTTCACGCACACGGGCGATGTCGAGATTGTGGTACGCGCAGGGGACCAGGAGCGACGCTACCTCCTGCATCGATTGATATTGGCGCAATGCTCGGGCTTCTTCGAGGCCAGTACCCGCGAGGAGTGGTCGCGACAATCCATGCCGAGGCCGCCAAACCTGGACACGGGCGTCCTGTCGAGGATTAGTGAGGATGCCTCTTCGCTATCAAACGGGTCAACCCTGGCCCAATCGGATAGTGGAGGATCCGCTTGGTCGGTCGAAAAGAGACGCTGGAGGTATGAACTGGACTGGGTAAACAAGGAGGAGGATGAGGAGCCAATTCTGGTACAAAAGGTTAGTTGATTGAAGCCTTGTGTAATTGTCATTAGCAATGCTAATCGTCGAATCTCTATAGCCTCCCAGCTTTTCCAGCGCATTTGGTTGCGATTCGGGACAGTATCCGCCATCCGTGACCAAACCGTCCAGCTCTCAAACGGGCTTTGTCCGGTCGATGGCCAATCTGGCCGGGATGCAGTCGGTGGTCAATCTCCCCCATCGATCTGGGACGGCACACCCACCCACCAACCCCATCGTTCGCGATTACGACAATCTGTTCCGCCTGTTCTACAACTACCCGCCGCTGCTCAACAGTGTCAACATCGCAACAGCCTACGCCGAGTGCCGGGCCCTGCTCAATCTAGCCGACATGTACGATGCGCTACCTGTGACCGGACCTCGCGTCGACCACCATCTACTGGGCTTTGGCTCGCGCCTCTTCAAGCAGATCGCCAAGTATCCCCCGAGCTACCTGAAACTGGGCTACCTGGCGCGCAGCCGTGTCATCTTCTCCGAGGCCCTCATCCATGTCGTGGGACAATGGCCGGCCGGTCTGCCCCATCTGCGCAACGGACCGTATTCGCCGCTCCCCAACTCCGTCCTGGACATCATCGAAGATAAGGTCGAGGACCTGGAAGACCTGAAAGCGCGCATCGACTCCAAGCTCCTGCGGCTCACCCTGACCACCTCCCGCGGCGAGCGTGTCAGTCCCACCAACGCCTACCTAGATTGGCTGGCCGTCTCGCTCTTCCGACAATGGCTCGTCGACAGCACGACGCCCCCACCAACTCCGATCCTCAAAAACCCCTCAGCAAACGCGCACGCCAGCACCAGCACCCACGGCATCCGCAGTTCGCAATCGACGAGCCACCGCCCCACAGACTCGACTTCCAAGACCACCACGACAACCACAACCGCCGCACCACCCTGGTCCGCCGCACGAGTCTACCGACTCATCGGCTCCTCCAGCAGCCAAGCCTACCTATCACACGAGGACCTGAAACGATTCCTCAAAGTGCACCCAACCCCTTCCTCCGAATCGCTATACACCCGTGAAGTCCTGAAACGATTCGAGCGCAAAATGGATGAAATCAAGCGGCTGGCCCGCGAGATAGTCAAGCCGCTCATGCGCAATTTCCTCGAACTGGATCTGAAAGGTAGCGAATACGGAGAGGGAGGGTTGCCGTATTTGACCTGCACTAAAGTCGACGACGAAGATATCCCGTGGGAATGATGAGTATAGCCTATTTATTGATAACACATATCCCCTCATTACGCAATTTACGCCAAATTACGATACCCTGGAAGTTTACGGAACCAAGTCAGTCACGAATTCTCGATCAGATACCTTATGTTTTATGCTTGATGGTTTATGTTTAAGCTTTTTGACGCTTCTATAATCTACGCCCCTCCTCCCCGATTGAATGGTCCTTATTGATGTCTATGCATATCCATGTTGGTCTATGTTGTTTATGTTTTCGTTCACGTCTCGTTTATTTTTCGCCATGTCATATGTTCTGAATTACTACACTAACGATACGACCTGCATGTGTCCACGATGTTATGATTCTTTTTCTGTCTTTTTCCCCTCTTCTTGTTCTGTTTGTTTCTCCATGCACGATTACGCAGCCATGTCATACAATTACAATTACCTACTAGCTAGTTATGAAGTTTTTAAGATGTAGATAGGTAGCCGGATATACAATACAGGGTTTACCGTCTATATCAATCATAAATTAGGTAGTTCATTGAGCTACTACTACTACTACTACTACTACTACTACTACTACTACTACTATTAATGTATAGATATAATGATTTAATACACTACTAATAGTATAGATATACACGATGTGGTTTTCCAGTTCCCAATTTCTATGATGCAGCGAAGAGTACTGATCGATATAATACAACTATTCATTCAACATTCTATCATACATACATACATACACACCCACCATCTATACATACACAACACAACATGCTAACTGCTCACTGCCCCCCAATAACCTCCATCCCACCCATAAACCCCCTCAACACCTCCGGCACAACCACCACCCCCCTCTCAGCATCCCACCCATTCTCCAGAATAGCCGCCAACACACGAGGCACCGCCATCGCCGTTCCATTCACCGTATGCGGGAACCGCGACTCCTTCGCTGCTCCGCCACGCACACGGGTCCCCAGCCGACGACTCTGGTAATCAGTACAGATAGACGCGGAAGTGACCTCTCCCCAGCCGGACTCAAGGTCCCCGGCACGCAGTCTCGACGGGAAGAGGACCTCGATGTCGCGCTTACGACTGGCGCTAGCGCCGAGGTCGGAGGTAGGCATTTCGAGGACGCGGGCGGGGAGGTTCAGCGCGGTGAGAATCTCCGTCTGGATGGAGAGGAGCTCAGCGAAGAGGTCATCCGAGGTAGTAGTTGGTTTGGTAGTAGTAGCAGTAGAGTCAGGGAGGTTATCCGCCCAAGCGAACATCTCAACCTTGGTGAATTCATGCACACGGTACAGACCCTTTGTGTCGACGCCGCGAGAGCCGGCTTCAGCGCGGTAGCACCGGCTGGGGCCGACGAGCCGGAGGGGCAGTTGTGTAGCGGGGATGTCGCGGCCGGCGTGCATGGCCGCGAGAGGGATCTCGGCAGTGCCGGCTAGGGAGCGTTGGGGCTTGGACTTGTCCTTTTCGTTTTGCTCGATGGACCAGATCTGTTGCTCGTTGTGTTGGTCGCGCGGCTGGAAGCCGCAGGCTTCGGCGATGTAGGAGTATACGAGGGAGGGAGGGGAGACGGCTCTCCAGCCGTGGCGGCGGGCGACGCTGAGGGCGTATTGGACGAGGGCTTGTTCGAGCAGGGCGCCCTCGTTGGTGAGGAAGTACCAGCCCCAGCCGGTGGTGATGGCGGAGCTGGTGAAGTCGAGGAGACCTAGGTTTGTGCCGATGGTGACGTGGGAGCGTTTGGGGTCGGGGTGGGTTGCCCATGTCGGGGGTGATTCGGGGTCGAAGTTGATGTAGTTGATTAGGGTTGGGTCGGCGCCGATGGGGGTGTGGGTGGAGGATAGGTTGGGGAGGGATAGGGCGAGTCGGTGGATTTCGTCGGTGCAGGTGGTTTTCCGGGTGGACATGTTGTTGGAGTCATCTTTGAGACGAGTGGCTTCGGCGCGGAGGGAGGAAAGTTCGGTGGTGTCGTTGTTGGCGGCGCTGGCGACTTTGGCGATGGCTTTCTCCAGTTCCTTGATGCGGGCTCGCGGGGTCTTGAGGTCTTGGTCGAGGCGTCGCGCTTCGTCAGTCAGCTGCTGGATCTTGAGAGGGTGTTCGGCGTGCGCGGGATAGTTGCGGTCGACGCAGTTCTTGGAGTAGAGCTCGGGGTTTTGGCGGATGTGTTTGATGTCGGGGGTGGGTTTGGGGGCTGTGGCCGGGCGGATGAGGTCTGGTCGTCGGGTAGACGAGGAGAATGGACGACGGCCGAATAGCCTGCAATTGATGCAGACGTAGGGGGATCTTGGTGGAGCCATTGGTGAGGAGAGGATTAATGGAGGGAGAAGATGGAGGGAAAACGGATTGAAGATTGAATGTCGCGATGCTCGCGCGGCCGCCTTTCCCGATCGGGCGGTCGCTCCACAGAGTCACTGGTTTGAGGAGAGAACAATCGCATTGGAATGGATTGGGGTTGCAGAGAGGAAGCAGGGAGGTGGCTAAGACAATTATAAGTGTGCTGAAGCGCTATTCATTCAATGTGCATAATCAAGACTACCGTTACTCCTGTTGACTGCTACGAGTACTACACTAAGTCTCCACTATATACTAGTTCCTTGGTGTGTATTCCACGGTAGTACCAGGACAGTCTCTCACAGCATTCCACGGCATCAGGGTCCATAACATCATGACCCCAGAGAGCCATAGCCAGTCCCCTTACAACCCCAACTTGTGCTTCTTGATCCTCGCCCCCAACCCCAAGACAACCAACACTGAGGCCACCAGTATTCCCCACAGCGGAATGCTCAACACGTTCAGATTATAAGTAGTCTGAGTTGCCGCCGAGACAGTCGCCAGTTCCAAGAGCAGCAGCACATACCCTGACTTGCGATGGTACTTGTAGATGCTCTTGCCCTTCTCCACACTACCCAGGACCTGGGCGGGGACGAAATATTGCACGACACCTACCAGGACCTGCAGGATGATGAAGATGTAGGTGATGAGACCGAGAATACCGTGCGGGGAGGTAAAGCGAGCATGATCGCCCTTGTTGATTTCGATGATGATGAAAGCGGTGATGAAGCCGAGGAGACTGAGGGTTTGGATGATGTAATGGATGATGGTTCCGAGGCGCTTTTGGTGAGGGGTGGTGGTGGGTTGAAGGATTAGAGTGGCTTGAACTTGAAGCAGGAGGGCAGCGGAGTTGAGGAGCTGATGAGGAGTTAGTTTATGAACTACTTACTGCGATAATAATGGTGATGATAATCGTAGTAGAGTTGTGGTGATGACTTACGGGATGAGCGGAAAAGAATATCAAGGGATGAGATAAGATTCCCGTCCAGACGAGGATGGCCAGCTGAGAAAGCAAACAGTCAGTACGACACAAGAACTCCAGCAGCAACAAGGAACTTCTTACCATCCAGATGCCAACTTGAGCTGCACTGGCTGTGCCTAATGGAGTAACGATCATTAGCTGGGAAAGGATACAAATTTATCTCACTCAGAGGAATAATCAACTCACCCGTAAAGAGGTTTTGATAGATAGCAGCGTTTTTCTCCTGGGGAACATTTCCCGGGGTATGCAGCAGGGGCGCATCCTCCTGCTCTTGGATGGTGTCGGGATGTTCTTGGGGAATGCCCGTAGCGGAAGCCATGGTGTGTTGATACTACCAGATACTATTTGGATAGCATATAGTAGACAGTAGTATATATGAGGGAGAGAAGATCAGCAACGGGAGATGCGCAGCGGGTCCTTAAATGGGGACGAGAGAATGACGAATTCGGGGTTTCGGATTGTTCATCAAGTCAAAAAGTGGGGGAACCCGACCGTTGCCAATGAGGAGGCATCGGATTGCAATGCTTACGCTGGGGGTGTTTCCATGGATTGATAAGACAGTGAGTTAGTTAGCTAAGTAGTAACTAGTTCAACTAGTCGGTTGGCCCTAAGTATAGTAACTGCTTCTAAGTGAGCCACCCCTCACCGCTACGTTCTCGGGAAGGAACATCATACAATTTAGGTCGAAGCAGTGATATTTCTCTCTCTAATTTCATCTCGATACTACAAAAGAGTATCTTGCAAGACTCAGAGAGTATGAAGTTGCCAAGAATCTAGCACGAAATGACATGATGCGAAGGGTGGAGCAGAAGTGTGCCGATGAAGAAAACGATTCAGAGTCTTAAGTGATACAAAGAAGAAAGATCAATCAGAGAGAACAACCGCCAACAAAGCAGAGCAGAGATGGTGCCATCAAGAGCAAACAAAGTATATACACCAACAAACTGACCAAGGAGTGCAACCAAAGGCTGGTACGAGCAGACTACTTAACAGCCACGCTTACCCTGGCCAGGGAGGGGTCGACGATGCCGCATTGGAGGAGAACGGACAACTCTCAAAAAGCGCTCATTGAGGTTGGGGTTGACTTCCGGCTCTTCTTGCTCATTGTCGTCCCAATCCTCAGAATCCTCGTCACCAGATGGGGACCAGTCCTCCTCGTCGGCATCGTAACTTTCATCGTAAATGGTGGACCACTCGCCTCTTGGCTCACCGTTCGAGTCGTCCTCATCGTAGTCGCTGTAGGAAGATATATCCGAATGAGACCTCTCGCCGAAGAAGGGTGGAATGCCCCGATGAGTACTGGCCACGGCTCCATAGTCACTACTAGCTGAGGACCCAGAAGGTGACTCTTCCTCAACGCTAGAGTCGAACAGTGTTCTGGTCAGAAGACCTTCAGTGAGAGAGCTGGTGATACACTCTTCATTGGTATAGGCAGTAGTACTAGCCAGGCCATCATTGGGCCTATCATTGCCCGCGTTGCTTTCAACCTGTACGAGCGAGCCCTGGTCTGTCGTGACCGCGCGAAGAGATGTTTGAGCCAATTGTTTCTAAGGCAAATGAGAACTGGGATCAGGACTGGAGGGTGATGAAAGGGAATATGTGACGTGAAGGACTTACCGACTCAGCGGTGCTGCTCGTTTCAGACTGGAGAAGTGTTTGAGCCCATCGCTTCTAGGGCAAGGGAGAAATGGATTAGGACTGGGGAAACATGAAAGGGGGTGTGTGCGGATGAAGGACTTACAGACTCGGTATCCGTATCCACTTCAGGACGAACAGACGCGTGTTCCAGTCGCTCCTAAGGCAAGGAAGAACCAGATCAGGACCGAATGGAGATGAAAGAGTATATGTGCCAACGGAGGACTTACAGTCTCAGTACCCTTGTCCATCTTCGGACGCAGCGGAGAGAGCACGGTTGGAGGGTGCATACGTAAATGCCACTTAAAAAGAGACAAGTCGATGGAGCAACCGACAATGTAGCCGAGAGAGCGATCGAGAGGGCAGCCCGGGGGCAATCGAGAGAGCAATCCACGAAGTAATCGACAAAGTAATCGAGAGAGCAATCGAGAGGGCAGTCAAGAGAGCATTCAAGAGAACCTCCAAAGGAGAATTCAGGAGAGCATCAGGAAAAGAGAGCGTTGAAGAGAGCCTTCAGCAACGCAACCAGGAAAGTAATCAGGAATGCCTAAGAAAGCGATCACGAGAGCATTCAAGAAAGCATTCAGCAGAGCTATTAAGAGAGCTTTCAAGAGGCAACTGTTTACAGAAGATCAGAAAAGCAAAAGGAAAGCCATCAAGAGAGCATTTCGAGAAGCAACCCTTCAGAGAAGAACAGTATAGACAGTATCAAAATGTGAGAAGTTTTGGGATATAAACAAGAACACGTTTCCCCTGGATTCTGGGGGGCCTTTATATACCTCTAAGAAGACTGCAATCATCTCTTCGTTCACTGCAAGACACAGTGAATCACCCCAGTGATCAGCTTGACGACATCATCACGGCGTGTAACAAGATTAACACGGTCCAGGCGAGTAAGACGTGATATTATGTTCAAGGGCAGTGATTCGGTGTCGAGCCGCGGGCCCCGGCGAAGGGGCCCCGTCCAGGATGTGACCAACTGTGACCTAGGGTTGCAGCCTGGGATAATCGTAGAACACAAAGATTTATATAGATGGTTGGAATGCTAGATGAACCTGAGCGGGAGAATGGTGATCTTATATAGAGGAGAATGCGTGTTGAATTAACTGAACAGTGTAGGATCCTCCCGATTTTGCGAATGCAAGTTCCGTAGGTATTCCCAAGAGATCGGAATATTCCATAGTATTGACAGACATTAACTATGGCGGCCTTGAATATACAGGACTATCACTCAGAGCTCACTTCCATATTCAGTCCTCTTTCCCTGCCCGATTGGGAATTGCATTCAATCACTGGAAGGGCAGCTTCAGTAGGTCACTCTCCTCTCCGGACCCCGGTCGTCCAATGACCACCTCTGCGCCCAGGGTCTCCGGTTCCAGACGCATGACAATGTTAAAGAGTGTCGACGACCGTGAGATTGGAGGCCTAGCCACGTCTTCCTGACAGGAGATTGACTGGGGGGCGTTGTAAGTATCAGAGAATACTCTTTCTCTGAGCACTTGCCCAATAATGGCATCCTCTTCAAGCACTTCATTCCTAATTAGCTCCCGGGTCAGTTCCCGGGCCCGCGCCAATCGTATCGGCGAGCCAGTCAACCATGGTGGCTCGTAGACAAATCGATTCTCTAGAAAGTGATTTGTATGTGCTACCATACCATATTCGTCCGGCTGAAGATGTACATCACCCAGGGGAGACAGCTCCAATCCCAGCGAGCCTTTACTATCAGCAATTAAGATGTGCTGGCTGGATCCCACACCTCCGAGGGACTTTAGCGTCTGCACTGCCTCATCGACCGAAGTGCTTTCCAGACAGAGCCGCAGAGCAACGTGAATGGGTATCTTGGATGGAACACAAGGATGGGCTCGGATAGCGTTGAGACAGGTTCCAACACAGGCACTGTTGAAGCCGATTTTACCCACGATGCCAGCCTACTGCACATTTAATAACGGATATTAAATCGGAAAAGTGACGACGTGCATATGGAATTTACGCGAGAAGTGACTCACCTCAGTGACCATGTGAATGATTGGTTTACCAGGCTGGTCGATCCTCATGAGCGCGATGTTTTCCCGTACCGTAGTGGTAAAGTCCCAGTTCTGGGCAAGGATACGACAGTGCTCGTTCCTCTTCCATGAAAGACTGGTGCAGCCATCTGTGAACTTGCCAAAAGTCAATTCACTCCGACAGTTCAGGGCCACAATGTCGAGCACATCCACCCCTGCACCCTCTGCAATGCCCTCCATTTCCTGGTAGAGGTGGGGGGTGGCGCGTTGAATGGTGATCGCGAATTGGTCTGCTTGCCGCCTGACTGCATCCCAGGACAAATTACAGTTCACCTGGAACATCTCTTCATAGATGGTAATTTGGCTGCTAATCTGCGGCCGAAGGTGGGAGCCATGATGGAAACCGATCTGCAGGCATTATGAGAGACTGAGTTACCAGGTTCAAGCGGTGAAAAGGTCCAGGGGGTTTTGCTGGGACCTACCTCTCTTGGTGTGCCGGTGAGCACCAGTCTGGGCGGCTCTTCAACTTTGGAATACATTTTGGGCAGATTGGCTGATGTTACACTAGCAGGACGTGGAGTTTACGAGAAAATGGAAGGCTTGAGGAATGGGCGGGGACAGGCCTCTTTTGTGAGAGTCCGTCTTATCTACACCGCGGGGTTGCATTGATAGGCTTATCGGCTAACAATGATGCTGCGGGGAAGTGGCAATCCTGCCGTTTACCTCGGAGATTTGACCGTTGACTACTCACGATGGGGATACCAACTATGGCATTGTTAAAGGTGTCTGCTCAAAGAGATTAATATCTAAACTGGGGGTCTGCTTCGATCTTCACTAATTCAGCCCATCGGCTCCACTTGTCCGCCCCACTTGTCCAGTTGTCAGGTGGTTTCGACCGTTGGAACTATCCCTTTCCATAGAGCATTCAACCATACTACTGGTTTTTTTTTTTTT